AGGAAAGCTAGGACAGGCCTATGAGGGGAACTTGAAGCAAAGGCTCAAAAATTATGGGTCAGTTGGTTGGATCCCTGGGGTAGGTGTTGTGGGCAGAAGAGCAAGGCTGGGGTAAAGCGGCAGGGAGGCCTGTGTGCCTGGAGAGTAGTGGGCAGGCCCAGCCTGTTCACGAGGACATCAGAACATGAGGATGGAGTGAGCTGTGTAGAGCAATCTGGCTGTGTGCTGCAAATGGCGTGCAGAAAGGAGAGGCACCAGCTGCTTAGGAAGCATCTCGGCAGCTGTTTCTTTTGAGACACCTGAATGGGATGGACCTCTCATTGCAGATGGACATAAGATGCTATCAAATGACACAGCAGCTCGAGGGCAGCATTCAGCAACCTCTTCAAGCTTATTCTCTTGTGTATGCATGTTCACATTTATGTATGTGTAGTAAATGTGTGTATGTCTGTGTGCTTATGTGTGTTTTTGAGTGTGGATATACAGGTGTGTGTGTGTGTGTGTGTGTGTGTGGAGATCAGAAGTCAGCCTCAGACGTCGCTTCTCAGGTACCATTCCGGTTGTTTCTTGAGATAGGGTCTCTCACTAGCCTGGAGCTTGTCAAATAGGCCAGATTGGCTGACCAGTGAGCCCCAAGGGTTTGCTGATCTTCCCTTCTCCAATGTTGGGATTGCAAGAATACACCATGAACCAGAGGTACATACCACATCTTTTTATAGGGTGGACTTTGGGCATTGAACATAGGTCCTCTTGTTCTTGTTTCAAGCATTTTTATCAACTGATCCATCTCCCCAGCTCTATACAATGTTGACTTATTCCTTTTACCTTGAGAATTTCATACAACATATTTTGATCATATTCTTAAGAATGTGTTAAGCAGTTTTCCTCTTTCCCCTGAAGTAAGAAGAATCCTATTGCTAATTTTGCTGTAGCTGATAATCTTATTTAGAGTATGGAAACCAGTGGAGATTCAGTTGGAGTGAGTTAGAACATCGAAAAAACACTGTTTCTTTTTAACCCGCTCTTGGCCCTAGCTCTTTGATTCCCAGGTTCCAGTGAGCAAGAGCAGAGAGCCTGCCTCTGATGGTGGGTGGTGGAGAAGTGGCTCTCCAGGGTGGGCTTGTTCCCCAGCTGTGGGGGAGGTGTTTGCTAGGCGTCTGAGTGATAGAAACAGTCTAATTAAACTGGGATTGATTTATTAACAGAGTTCTGCTGCTCACATAATTTAACAACTCCGAGGTGTTGCGGGGCCTGGGGTATTGCTAAAGAGTGCTAAGGCTCAAGATAATTATTGCCTGACTTTGGAGAGGATGACAGATGGGTCCTCATTGTCTCTGTAAATCTCGCTGGCAATTGAAGAAGGGGTCTTTGTTGGGTGTTGTGCAGGGGGTCTTGCTGTTGGTCCTTGGCATGCCTTGCTGGCACGCTCTCTTCCGCTTTCCAAGGCCCTTTGTCTCTGCTTTGCAGACCCTCCCTCCAAGCCCCTGCTTACTCAGCTGCAGGTCTGCCTTTGGCATGGCTGTAACAATGGATCTCCTGGGTCCGGTTCGTTATCCAGATGCCTTTCTGTTTGAATTTATTTCCAGCCAACATGTTTTTCGGTCTGGTTTGACTTATTTAAAAAACAAAAAACAAAAAACAAAAAACTGGTCTTTTAACCAGGCCTGTACAAATATTTATTTAAGACTTACATTGTGTGCCTGCTTCTGGGTGTAACTAATAGTGAGTCGCTGACTAGATGACAGTCTGCCTTAGGACAGGCAAACTCTGGGAGGCTGGAGGTCTGTACGGCAAGGAGCTCTGTTCTGCTAGTGTTCTGTCTCCTGGCTTATGTGGCCCACAGCCACACTCCTGGGAACTCTGAACTATTAGCAACCTGCTCATATAAACCATGGACCCAGAAACCTACATGCAATTATGGATAACACAGTCATGTACTTTCCTATCAGCCCCAAGCACTCGCAAGCAGTGTTTACTGTTTCTAGAGATGTGTTTGAACTCTCCTGCTAGCTCATTTCAGACCTTTGCTCATTTTTTTTTACCTTTGCTCATTTTTACAGGATAGTTTTTCTCCAAATAAAATATATAATCTAATTTGAATGGTTACTTATGATAGCTGTAGAAAACACAGAAAAGTAGGAAAAAAACCCTCAAATATTCCTGTCCTTCAGAGGTTAGCAACTATTATTGTTTGAGAGACTAATAACAGACAAAGAAGTGACACCCAAGTCCACCCTGGTGAAACAATGAATTGGTTGGGGTTAACTTCAGAGAACATTCATGTCTCGAAGGCAACTACATCCTTCAAGTCTGCCCCAGTGTAGGTGATGACTCAGAAAAGTGGCATCTTAGAGTTCCCATTCCCTTCAGCTTTATGGCCCAACCTTGCTAAGAGCTGTCTTCATAGGAAAGCCCTGCTTCACAGCTGCTTGCATGGGCTTTCAGGGTGCAGTGTGGCTGAGGCTGACATGGCCCATGTGTGTTCTTCACAACTGAGTCTAACTCCTACCTTACAGGCAGCGTCTTGGCCCTATGGCGACTCTGGGCTGTGATTGCCCATGTGTACACAGAGTGCTTTGGACCTCTCTGTGCCTCCATCCATCACCCTGGTACAGGCCCGTTCTCCAGACACAACTCATTCTTGCATGAGCAAGGTTGGAAATGCCTCAATGAAAACCCTTCAGTTTGGTGGTTGCGTAGATGGCTCCAGGTTGTCAAGTGCTGACTCTCCAAGTGAGAGGAACTAAACTTGATCCCCAGAACTGCAAGAAGAGAGTTGAGTTACTATACTCTTAGTGTTGGGGAGACAGAGACAGGAAGACCCCTGGGACTTGCTGGCCAGCCAACCTAGCCTCTTTGGCAAGTTTCTTGTAAAACGAGGTGGGCCTGGTGGCAACAGTGGCATATACCTTTAATCCCAGCACTCATGAGGAAGAAGCATGCAGATCTCTGAGTTCGAGGGCAACCTGGTCTATAGAGTGAGTTTCAAGACAGCCAGGGCTACACAGAGAAACCTTGCCTCAAAAAACAAACAAAACAGAACAAATAACAGCCAACCAACCCAAAAATGGGGTGGACAGCTCTTGAAAAATAACACTGGGGTTTTACCTCCAGTCTCTACACACATACTCATGTACCTACACACACATACATACACACATACAAGAAAAGAAAGAAATCTCCTCAGTGTGATTTTATTTACATGGAAACAGGGCTACCTAAGCCTATCTACCCACTTCTGTTGAAGTAATTCTTATCCTGGATTCAGGATGCGCTATGATTCAGTTATGGGCCAAAGAAAATGAACTTATTACTTGACACTCTTGAAAAGTCCTTGGAGGCTACTGAGCTCTTCCGCGTGGGTCTGGGGCTAATGGCTGTTCACAGCTGTTTGAGAGCTGGCCACAGGGGGAAGCTGCTAGTGCAGAGAAACGTGGGCAACCCTTCAGAGGACTCTTGACTCCCCATGCAATTTTGGCTCTTTGCTTTTTGCATCTTATCAAGGAATTAGATGAAGGTGAGTCCTGCGTAAATAACACATCTCTCTGAAGGCCCCGAGTTCACTAGGACCCCACTGGCTCACAGTGTCCTGCCGCACGGGGCATGAATAATAATGATAGTCCATTGTTGCTCGCCTTTATCTGTCCACCTGGCAGGCTTAACTCCCGTTCCAGTGTAGTTCTGAGAGTGAAATATGACACTGGACTCCATGGAGTCAGAGAAACCTCCCCTTGGTGGTTATCTCCTGTGCGTGGTGTGTGTGTGTGTGTGTGTGTGTGTGTGCATGTGTGTGTACACTTGTGTGTATGCTTGTATTTGAATATACCTGCATATATATGTATGCAAACACAATTACATGTATAGGCCAGAAACAACTTTGATGGTGTGACATCTTTATATATGTATATATATGTATGTATTATTTCTCTTTATCTGTAGGTGCATATATGTTTATCTGTCCCAAGAGGCCAGAAGAGGGTGTCAGATTCCCTAGAGCTGGAAGTAACAGGAGACTGTGAACCATCTGACATGGGTGCTAGGAACTAAATTCTCGTCCTCTGAAAAAACAGCGAGTGGTTTTAATCATCCCCAACCTTGTTTTTTGAAATGGTCTCTTACTGGTTTGCAGGCTACCAAGTAGTCTAAGCTGGCCTGACAGCGAGCCCCAGGGGTCCACCCATCTCTGCTTCCCCAGGGCTAGAATTACGAGTGCATTAGCGTGCCTGCCTTTTGTGGCTTGGGAGCCAAGGGTCAAAGTCATGCTCCCATGTTTGCAAGGCAAGCATTTACTCTACTGAGCCCTACCCAGCCGACAGCATTTGTTTAACTCAAATCTGAGGTGAGGCTCTTCATGTTTCTCACTGCAATAACTTGGGCATCTACTTCTTTGAAATCTGCAGCTCTCCAAGGAAAGCCCTGGTATCACCAAAGCACTCAAGTGCAGATGTTTTGAAGTCACAGTTTAACATCTTCCAATCAGGTGGCCTTCTGGGGCACGCGATGGGGGGGGGGGGGCTTTTTAACTGTGCCCACCTGTTGTACCACGGCCAGTTAGAGCAGATGAATTCAGAGTAGAAATACAGCCAGGCCTGATAGTGCAGGCCTGTGATCCTAGCAGCTGAGGAAGCTGAGGCAGGAGGATTCAGGTTTCAGCTTCACTGAAACCTGAAATTTAGTTCCCAGTTCTCTGCTTTCAGTTTCTGGATTTTCAAAGGGACTGAAGCCATGTGATTGACAGGTGCTTAACTTTGTTTTCCCCGAAGTTGGTCCTTGGATACTTCAGAACATGGTGGGGGAAGTGTTGTAGGTATAATTTGAAAATAATTTCTTTTTCTTCTTTTTGAATTCTTTGAAGTTTTAGATATTGGTTTTTAAATTTTTATTCTCTTGGAACTTTCCCCTGGTGTTCAAAGGTTGTATGCACTGTGCTGACGAACTCACGAATGAAACACATAAACCATGAGACTGTCAAATCTGAATGGTGTTTTCTTTCTTTCTAGCTGTCTCCGTCATGAGGTACAGCGCCTCTGCCTTTGGGTTTGCAGTAAGTAGCCTGAAATGTTCTCACCGTGATGAAGTTCTGCATGGTTTCCTCAAGCCATGGCTCTCACCGAGTCGTGGAATAGATGGGTGCTTATGCTTAACAGATATGAAATGAGCATGGGAAGCACAAATTTAGGAAAAACCACTGTGCAAAGGACAATGCAATAGAATTAAATGGCATCACGATGGGATAGTTCCCATGTATACATCCAGGGTGCACATGTTCTCTGAAGGAGCTGCTTGAGAGGATGTTTTGGGGGAGCCTAGCCTCTCTGTGCTCTTCCAAGTTGCATGTAGTCCTGACACTGGGGTGGTGCATATTGCTGGTGTAGGAAGAGACACTGGGAGTTGAAATGGATTGGGGCTGCTCACACTAGAAGTCAGTCTATCTACAGCCCTGCTAAGGGGAGCTGAGCTTTCTGTCTGCCTCCCGGTGGAAATAGGTCATTTCTTCTTAGCCCTTCAAGAGAGGGCCAGCACTAGTACAGAATTGAGATGTGTGATGTCTCAAGCAAGCTCTTTCCCTCCTTGTTGACAGACATGGGGAATCCTGTACCTGGCTGAAGACCCACATCTGCCCCTTGTTGTAAAAGCTTAATGTTTGGAGAGTGTTGCTCTGAGACAAATTCTTTTAAGAGTTTTATAAAGGATGCAAACTGTCTGGAAAGTTACATATGCACACACTGGTACCCAGAACACAAACAACATGTGCACGTATCCAGAAATAAATATACAACACATATACAGACAGCGAGATGCATATACAATATATATATAAACACAGTCAGACATATACAACACATACACGGAGAGAAATAGAAATACACATAGCATAAACACACATCATCCAGAAGTAAACACACAGCATAGATACACACATCACGTGTGTGCACACACACAATATGTGTATATATATATATATATATATATATCCAGACACACATAACATACACACTTAGAAACCCTTCTCTCTCTCTCTCTCTCTCTCTCTCTCTCTCTCTCTCTCTCTCTCTTTCTCCCTTGTTCTCTCTAAAGCATAGAGATTTCTATACAATATCAAACTGTTGGTAGACTTTCTGAACCTAGCTAAAACAGTTTCAACGAGAGTCAGAATTAGAATTTTTTAAAATATTTATTTATTTATTTATTATGTATACAATATTCTGTCTGTGTGTATGTCTGCAGGCCAGAAGAGGGCACCAGACCTCATTACAGATGGTTGTGAGCCACCATGTGGTTGCCGGGAATTGAACTCAGGACCTTTGGAAGAACAGACAATGCTCTTAACCACTGAGCCATCTCTCCAGCCCAGAATTAGAATTTTTTTAACTTACTATTTTTTTTTAATTTCCTATGTATAGGAAAATGGCAATGTCATCTTGCCTGTTGTAGTATAAACAGTTTCACGTATTTCAGAAATTTGTATTCCCATTCCTGTCTCTTGTCCCATATCTCCATAGTGCCAGGACCCTAGGGATCTGAGAACAGAGTCAACCATACAAGGGCCACAGCTCTGCTACCAGGGCAGTAATGCCCAGGGCTGCACCATGGAGTTCAAAGTGCAAGACACATGTAGAAATATGTAAACTCCAAGATGTTTATTCAAACTCTCTGGGTCACTGTGCAGTTCCCCTGTGTGTTCATGGTTGTGCCTTGCTGACTCTGGAGAGCCACTAATGTCCTGTCTCCTTCTCTAGTTTGACGCCATCCTGGATGTGCTGTCCTCGGCCATCGTCCTCTGGCGTTACAGCAACGCAGCCGCCGTGCACTCTGCTCACAGAGAGTATATGTAAGTGGATTCTTCTTCCAGATGGGAGGAGCCTTAAATGAAAGCCATGCCCTCAGTCTTTGTCCTGATGTTGAGAAGAGGATGCAAGTTGTCTTTGATATTAGCTAGTGCGCTGTCAGTCATATGACAGGACTTCCCTGGGATAGTTACAGGAACTTGTAGCCTTTATAATTTGCTCAGTTCCCTGATCTGGAGTCTACAGTGAATATCTTCTTGTCTGTCCTTCTATTCAGTCATTCACCTATTTGTCCATCTGTCTGTTCTTTAAACTGTACATCTGTAGTCCCATACTCTCATCCATCCATCCATCCATCCATCCATCCATCCATCCAACCTCACATTCATGCACCTACCCACACCCTGTCCGTCCGTCCGTCCATCCATCCATCCATCCATCCATCCATCCATCCATCCATCCATTCAGCTAACCACCTATCTTCCCTCTACTCATTTATCTTCCTTCCTTTCCTCCTCTGTTTTCTTTTCTTCTCTCCTTCCTTCCTCCCCTGCTTCCTTTCTCCCCCTTCTTTCTCCTTGGTGTCTCCATTTTCTTTCAGGGTCTCACAAATGCTAAACCAGTTCTTTATTACCAAGACGTATCTTGCAGTCAGATTTGTTGTTGTTTTGTTTGTTATATTTTCTTTAATTAATAACTCAACACAAAACTATGAATATTAATTTATGATGATGATGATGTTTTTTGCAACAGGATTTCTCTGTGTAGTCCTGGCTGTCCTGGAACTCACTTTGTAGACTAGACTAGCCTCAAACTTACAGAGATCTGCCTGTCTCTGTCTCCCAAGTTCTGGGATTAAAGGCATGCACCACCACCTCCAACCTTCACAAAGTAAAGTGTTTTCATTTGTTTGTTTTGTTAAGTCTGCAGTGCCTGGTATTCCCAGGTCTCCCATCCAAGTACTAATGAACCTGATGCAGCTTAGCTTCTAAGATCAGACAAGATTGGGCTCATTCAGGGTGGTATGTCCATTGCTCTTTTCATTTTAAAAGACCTGGCATAAGACACACCTATGCACATAAAACATGTACAAACACGCATAGAAATTCAGTACCAATTTGAACATCACTATTTGCTAGCTCTGGGGCTTCATCATACTTCAGCCCTTCATTTGGTAAAGTAGAAAAAGAAACATTCTTCCTCTATAGGATTTTCATGATGGACACATACGTTCCTACACACACGCGCACATAGATACCTGTGTATATGTGTGATTGTGGATACACGTGTTTATCTGTGTGTGTGTGTGTCTGTGTGTGTGCCTGTATATCGGGATGTGCAGTATTGCCCCTGGCTTCTGTAGGTTTCAGATGACTGAACATCAGTGAACAAATGCTCTTCTGTGTGGTTCTAGGGCGCCAGGGGGAAGGTGCTGTGTCAGTGCCAACACCAAACCAACAGGCAGAGCTATGTCTTCGGCGTTGGGAATTCAGGCAGTGATATATTTGAGGTTGGGTGAGTTGAAATGCAGAAACTCCTGAAAGTTGACAGCATCCAGATTCATTAATGACAGCAAGAAAGCAGGGAGTTGGAGGGATGGCTCAGTTGCTAAAATCACACACTAGCCTGGCAGTAGCCCTCAAACCACATTAGGTGGCTCACAACCCCCGAAACTCCAGCTTCTGGGGATCCAGTACACTCTTCTGGCCTCCATCATGACCTGCATTCATGTACATATACCCCCACACAGACAGAGACAAAAATAATTTGAAAATATCAACATATACCAAGCGGTGGTGGCATACACCTTTAATCCTACCACTTGGAAGACAGAGGCAGGAGGATCTCTGTGAGTTTGAGCCCAGCCTGGTCTACAGGGTGAGTTCAAAACAACCAAGGTTCTTATACAGAGAAACCCTGCCCTGAAAAACCAAATAAATAAAATAATAGAATACATCCCTTAAAAAAAGATTGAAAAGAGGAAACAAAAATCCTCAAACCCAAGCTTTTCTGCATGTGTGCAACATTTGCTTCAATGGGCATCATCTCTCTTCACAAATGCAAAGTATCGGATTTGTAACATCAAAGATATTACCATTGGAATCAAGTTAATCTTGAAAATAAGTTCATCTTTTGGTAAGAATACTTTAAGAAAAACGGATAGTAGAAATTTTAATTTTATAAAATTTCAAATGATGATTCTGTAACATGAGAAGCGCTAATGTTCCCACCCCATTTATTAAGTAGGTGTTTGAGGACTTCAACAAAACTGCCATGAAGAAGTCTAGAGAGCTTCGCTGCCCCTGGTCAAGAGCTAGGCACCATTTAGAGTAACATGCAACCCTGTTCTGCAGGTGTGTTGCCCAGTTGGCCTTTGCTGCCCTGCGTCAACCTGATAAGGAGATGAAGTGTAAGGGCAAAATACACTCCAGACTCTGGAGAGTAAGAAAAATGTTTATAGTTTATTAATAAAAAAAAAACCACTGTGAGTTAGAGAGATTGCTCTGAGTGATGTGCTCACCAAGTAAGCATGGAGTCCTGACACACACACACACACACACACACACACACATGCGCACACACATGCACACTCTGGATGTGATGGTGCATTTGTAACGTGAACTAATAAGGAATGTCCTTGGGGCTCACCGGCCAGTCTGCCTAGCCTAGTCAGTCAGTTCCAGGTCGGTGAGAGACCCTGCCTCAAAAGACAGCGGAGAAGGTGCCTGAGGAATGAAACCCACACATATTCATACATTTGTGTGTGTACCCTTACATATGTGTGCACACACACATCCACAGAAATTTGATTGTGTGCTGATATCAGGATATTTTATTCATAGTTGGCTAAACTATTAAATTATTTCTTGTCTCTGTGTTCCCTTGGAAATTGAGAATTTTATAGGGGCCTGGAACTGAATTCGGTCTAGGACTAGAAAGGGAAAGTGTTGTGCTCGCTTTCCCTCCGTGTCAGAGCTAATAATTCCAGGTTTGAGCTGTGTCTCCAAAAGAAGTTGAGTTCTGGTTGCTAATTTGATTTTTTTTAAATCTTATTTCCTTTCTGGCAAATGCTCTTTGTAAATCCTTAGTCACAAAGCTGGAAATTACTGTGGCTTTTCTGAGACCTCAGAATCGCCATGAACACTCACCAGGTGCCTGCAGGCTTCTCCAGGCCAAGCTTGTAAAAACTGTCTTTGCTTTTACTGTTTTCAAGTTTATTTTGTGTATGTGTGTGTGATCCTGGGTGTGTGTGTGTTCATGGATGTGTGTGTGTTTATGTATGTAAAGGGCAGAGGTCAACCTCAGGTGTTATTCCTCAGGTGAGACACCTTATTTTTTGAGACAGTGTTTCCCTTTCTTAAATTTTAAAAACTTTCATTTCTTTTTTGAGATTATAATTCAGTTATGTTAGTTCCTCCCCTACCTTTCCTCCCTCCAAACCCTCTAAGAGCTCACTCATATGCTAAATTAGCTGACCAGTTAGCCTCGGAGATTTACCTGGCTCCATCTCCCTGGTGCTGGGATTACATACAGGGGTAGCACATTTGGCTTTCTGAAGGAAGATTCTGGGAATAGAAATCAGGTTCTTACACTTGTGTGTGACTAGCATTTTCCCTACTGAGTCATCTTACCAGCCCTGGTTTCACTGTTTTTAAAGATCCCCAGATAGATGCACTAAGAACTGTGTCTGGATGACAAAAATGTGGAACACATACACAGTGGAGTATTCCTGAGTGGAAAAATTAAAAAAAAAAAAAAAACAATGACACCACGAAATTTGCAAGCAAATGACTGGGACATAAAAAAAAAATCATTCTGAGTGAGGTAACCCAGACCCAGAAAGACAAACACGGTATGTACTCACTCATAAGTGGATACTAGATGTAAAGCAAAGGATAATCAGACTACAGTTCACAGCTCCAGAAAAGTCAGGTAAAAAGGAGGACCCTAAGAGGGACATGCGTGGAGGACCCCAGGAAGAGGAAATAGGCTCTCCCAGGTAAACTGGGAGGGAGGGGTAGAAGGGATGAGATGGGGATGGGAACGTGAGGGATTGAGATTGCCTAGTGGGGGAAGGGACAGAGAGGGAGAGCAATGAAAGAGAGATCTTGATCAAGGGAGCCATTAGGGAGTTAGGGAGAAACCTGGTGCCAGGTAAATTCCCAGGAATCCACAAAGATGACACCAGCTAAGACTCCTAGCAATAGTGGAGGCGGTGCCTGAACTGGTCTTCCCTTATAATCAGATTAGTGACTACCCTAATTGTCACCATAGAACCTACATTCAAAATGCAGTGATCCACAGCCAAGCACTGGGCTGAGTTCCTGCTCTTCAGTTGGAGAGAGGGAGGAGGGATCATGTGAGCAAGAGGGAGTCAAAATCATGATGGGGAAAACCACAGAGACAGCTGACCCCAGCCAGTGGGAGCTCACGGACTCTGGACTGTCAGCTGGAGAAACTGCCTGGGACAGAACTAGGCCCTCTGAATGTGGGTGACAGTTATGTGGCTTGATCTGTTTGGGGGGCTCTGGCAGTGGGCCCAGAAGTGATCCTGGGTGCATGAACTGACTTTTTGTAGCCCGTTTCCTATGATGGGATACTTTGCTCAGCCTTGATGCAGGGGTGGTGAGCTTGGTCCTGCCTCACCTTGGTATGTCAGACTTTGTTGACTCCCCAAGGGAGGCCTTACCTGCTCTGAGGAGTGGATGGGGGGTGGTGGTATGGGGGTAGGGGAGTGGGAGAAGGGAAGGAAAAGGGAACTGGGTTGGTATGTAAAATGAAAAACAACTTAAAATAAAGAAAATTAGTGCATTAAAAAAAGTCTGTTACCCACAATACAAGAATCTTTGGGTGGTTGGTCATTGGATAATGATCAGGAGCTCACTTGGAGATTCTTAATTTAAGGATTAAGTGATACTCATAATCCCCCATATCACCAGCTTTAGTTAACATTTTAATCTCTGGTTAAAAATTCATGAGCTCACAGCCGGCTGGGAATATATCTGCATATTAATGCGCATAAACAAGCGTTGAGGACTACAAG